AGCTGGGAGCCATTATGCTGAAAATAAACGCACCGGAAGCTAACTCCAGGGTGTTACTTTAAAGATTAAAATTGAAATCTCAGAATTTCGAGGTCAGGTTTAATGTGGCCTTTCAAGTTGATTAAATTTAAAGTACAGAAGATAGGTTTCAAGAGCCATGTGAAAAATATAAAAAAAAAAAAAAAAGACCAAATGACAGGAAGTCTCCACAAAGGCATGTTAGTATCAACAGCTAGCCACTGAATGGTCTTCTTAACACCACAGTTAGAGGACTGACTTTACCACTGTCAGCATTTACTTTGGTAAAGAAAAAGAAAACCTATATTTAACCCAACCACTAATAAGCAGCCTTGATTCTAAAGGCTACTAAAAGTCCAAGTAAACAGTCACCTGTTACATCATCAACAGGGTCACAGTCAGAAGCTGCAAGAACTTTCCTTCCTGTCACTATCCACACATTTGCAGAAAAAGAAATCCTGAACATTTTTTACTTTCCCAAAGATATATTTTTCAGTAATGGCCAAGGTAATAACTTTCACCAAAAGGAAGGCTGTCCCCCCTTTCACCCCTTTACCATTGTTAACTGTGATGAATACAAGTTGCTGCAAAGTGCTTCTGTAACTTCTGGTCCCCTCCCCCCACTACAATTTTTAGACCCTTTTATTTATAACAAAATAAATGACATAGGTTATAGAAAAACCACTATTCCTTAAACCCATAAAAGTATTTTTGGTCAAACAAACAGTATCAGACAGCCAAAAGAACAATTATAAAACCTGCATTGGGCCAAATCACAAAGCATTCCTCTCTCCCTGACTCCTCCATCACCTTAAAGATACCTTATGATATTTTATCAGAGTGCTGATCTTAATGAATATCAGAGAGAAGGAAAATTCTGGGAAGAGGTCAATTTTATATCTGTAACAAAACATGCAAAGTCCAAAATGATGAGTGACTTCAAAGACAAACCATTAGCATCTCTTTTCAATAAGAGACAACTTCATCTAGTCAACTGGACTTGATGACTTGCCTGGATACCTTAAATCAGTGGTTCTCAAACTGTAGCCTCCGTCAGAATTATCCAAAGAGCTCGGCAAAACACTGATTGCTGGCTTCATCCCCAGAGTTCAGTTCAATAGGTCTGTGGAAGGGTCTAAAATTTTGCATTTCTCAAAAGATCCCAGGTGATGCCGATGCTACTGGTCTGGGGAGCACACACTTTGAAAACCACTACTCTAAACCTAGAGACACCCAGTTTTTGTAAAACTTTTCTCTAGAGGTCTTAACAGGGATCTCTGCAGAAAACACCAAGTTTGGGAAACCTAACTATCTTATGCTTAAACTGCTAAATTGCTCTTTGAAATAATTCATCTGAGGTAAGTAGTTACATAGTTCAAAGTAATTCAGTATTGAGCTGTGTATCTGCAGCTTAGAATTCCAGACCCCTTTTTCCCTACTTCACAGAAACGATAACCAGGTGTGCTCCAAAATGCCTACTGAACTCTGGGAGAGTAAGGGGCTTAGGCTCCCTTATACTTCTGGTGGGGCTTTGCCCCAAAAAGTGTAGTGGCTGCTTCATAGTGGTCTCTGGAGAAAGTCCATTTGTTCTTATTCCCACATCAGCCACTTTAAGATATGAAAAATATAAGTAAAATCCAGATATGTTCAAATTCAACAGATCTTGGCCTCAAAGTTTTCTAAAACTGTTCTATGTTTGTCTCACAAAATTCTTGGCTACGTGGGGGGGGGATGAAATGACATTTGTGGAGTCTCAAATGTCTTATTTTAGCTGGTTTTCCACCCCCCCAACAAACCTTTTACATATAAGTTATTCAGAGTAACAAAATCATCTCAGTATTAACTTTTAACTTAAAAAAAAAAAAACTTTCCATCGTGTGTCAGAGATGTTAGTAGTAATGTTAGGTGTTATTTCATTGTCAGCAACAAATGAACAAGGGAAGATGATGTTCAAAGGGTACAAGCAAGCTGAAAACTCACCTCCAAAAAAATGGACAAATGACCAGAGAAATTAAAAGCAGTATTTTCATTTAACAGCAAAAATTGATCAAACTGTGCTAGTTGCTAAAGTAAAAACACTAATAATATATATGGTCCCTGCCCTCAAGGAGCTTTTACTATCTTGCAAGGAAGACTAACAGAAAGGTAATTGTAAATGTGAAGAACATTATGAAGAAATTCAGATTGCTATGGGAAACAGAGACTAGCCTACCTGGGGGGTGGGAAAGGAAGTATCAAGGGAGGCTCCTCAGCAAAGCTAACCTCCACCAAGCTTAGAGCTGAAGGATAAATAAGAGTAAGCTAGGCAAAGAGGGAGGAGAAATGAGTTACAGATGGAGGAGAAGAACACTGAGCGTTCCCTTACGACTCAAACACACAAAACATGGAAAAGTGGGAAAAGAAGCTGGAAGGGTAGGCAGGACCAGAATGTGCAGAGCTCTGTGTACGTGCAATGGGAAGCAGGAAGATAACATGATCATAACATGCATCTTAAAAGAACTCTCTCTATTGTGCAGATATTGGCCTGAAAGGGTGGTGGGTCAGGAGGCACAGGATGCAGTATTCCAAGGATGGAAATGGCAGGAGGGTGGAGGGAGGAAATACAGTGAATCTTAAGTTGTCTGACATACAGGTCACTTAATTTAGAGGGACCTCAGTTTCATCACATGAAGTAGGATTAGAATCTTTCCTGTGTATCTCTTAAAATTACTATGGTGATAAATCACACATCTAAATAATCTTGTTTGTACCTATTACTTACACACTACTTTTTTCTTCTCCCAAACTCTTAACTCCAACTCAACTTCTGGCTAAAAGACCATGTATCTCTGCAATGAGGTTTTGCTTTTTTTTTTTTTTAAAGATTTTATTTACTTATTTGACAGAGAGAGACACAGCGAGAGAGGGAACACAAGCAGGGGGAGTGGGAGAGAGAGAAGCAGGCTTCCCACAGAGCAGGGAGCCCGATGCGGGGCTCGATCCCAGGACCCTGGGACCATGACCTGAGCAGAAGGCAGACGCTTAACGACTAACTGAGCCACCCAGGCGCCCCTGAGTTTTTGCTTTTTAATTTGCATCACAGCACATATAACAGGCAGAAAAAAAATGTCTCTATTAGAATAAAGAGAATTCAGCAAAGTTGTTGGAAAAAAAAGCAAGTGCCATCCTAGCCAAGATCAACTCTAACAAAATATAACTTTTTCAATAAAAACCAACCAGTTATCTAGACATTAAAGAACTTTATGGAGGAAACTTAAAGAAAAACACCTAAATAAATTTAGAAAAAAACTAAGTCAATCCTTCCCAGAAGAAACCAATGAAATTCCAAAAAAAATTTCCAGAGGATTTTTCACAGAATTTGACAAGGTAATCTTACAGAATGTAATACAAAAATCACAAAAACATAATGTTGAATGAATATAACAAGTTGTAGAAGGATCTTCCAGTATCATAATACTTCTAAACATCTAATATTACATATTGTCATAAAGTCACACAAGCAAGTATGTATGTATACATACATAATAACAGTATAAACACACGCATGGGAATGACATCAAATTCTAACCAAAAAATTCAGAATAGTTACTGAAGGGAAAAAACAGGACCAGAGAGGCATAAACTAGAGTTTCAGTTTTATTTGTAATCTTTTATGTCTTAAATTGAGTGTATACAAAGATGTTTATTACATTATTCCCTGGTCCTTAAACTTTTTGTAGGTCTTAAATAATCCATAAAAAAAATAAAAACAGAAAGCCTTCTATTTGAGAACCACATTAGTACATGATCTAGCACAGTAGTTCCTAACACCAGTTCAACAGCTATTCGACACCATCTGAAGTATTTGTTAAAAACACAGACTATCAGGCTGAGCTAGAATCAGCATTTCTGGGAGGGGAGCCATGTGATTCTAATGCGCAGCCTCATTTGGGAACTCCTGGTAACCACAAGCTATTAATAACTAATCCATCAACAAAATGGGTTCCAATCTGACAATGAGATATTTAAGTGCTTAAGATTGCCTAATTACTTTCCAATTGATGTAACGGTCTAGAATGTGGATTCTCATGTGAGGGCAGAACCATACAAATTTTAATGTATATCCTTTACTACAACCCCGCCCCCCAAAAAAGGTCATACATGTAAAAACTCCGAATATCCTATAAGGTAATAGTATCTAATGATTCCATAGCAGAACATAATTCCTTCATACCCTCCACAGGGAGCAAAATTCCACCAGAGGTGATAAAAGATGCTCCCCTTAAAAATGAAGTGGTACAAGTCATTGGCAATTGCACTAAAGATTTATTTCCCTCAAGCATGTAGATGGTAACCCCATGTTTCTTTCCTTTCTGAATTTTCTTCTCTTGTAATAAAATCACAGCTAAGTTTAAGAGAAATGCATGGAACCAATGAGAAACATAAAAAATAAATTTAGAAAGAAAACTATTTATTTATTTACAGTTAGAGGTGTTAGTTGTTGCTATGACAATTTTGCCCTGCTCCTAAGAAATAAAATTAACTAGAAAAGACTAAGTTGTTAGAATGTGGAAAACCTTCAAAGACTGACATATTTTCCCCTAATACTTAAAATCACAACTAAAAATACGGAAAGGGATGATTTTCGTATTTTAAACAACACAAATCTGCTAAGCACATCAATATAAAAGGACTCACTCATAAGGAGAACACAAAGAATAGTGTGGAGGACCACAGGGGAAGGGAGGGAAAACAAATGGGAAGAAATCAGAGAGGGAGACAAACCATGAGAGACTCTGGACTCCGGGGACCAAACTGAGGGTTACAGAAGGGAGGGGGTGGGGGGATGGGGTAACAGGGTAAAAGGTATTAAGGAGGGCACCTGTGATGATGAGCACTGGGTGTTATACACAACTAATGAATCATGGAACACTACATCAAAAACTAATGATGTACTATACGCTGGCTAACGGAACATTAAAAAAAAAAAAAGGCTCACTTACCAGGGCTTTCTACACGCTTATAGTGGTAGGGATTGATGCACACCTCCTTCTGTTTGGAACCAAAAGGAAACTCACAGCATTCCAGTGGTTTTAGTTCATGGTGGCTCTGAAGATCAGGCCAGCGCCACACACGGCAGTAAATGACATGAGGCAGTCCCTTCCGGTGGGAAACTTGCAGCCTGCCATCCAGAGAGCGGGGAATGGTGACACAGTTACTTGGCTGCCCCGGGCAGCTCAAGGCCTTTTCCAGTTCCTCCATGGCACCTTTCTTTTTCTTCAGTTTTTTCACCAAAGCATCAACAGCTTTCTCTGCCCATTTTTCTTCTTCATCACCCTGTTTCCACCCAAGGAGTCTCTTCACAGCTGGACTTGTGAAGGAAAATAAACTTGTCACATTCATAATGACTGCACTAGTTACAGACTCCTTGTGTGTGATGAAATAAAGAAGTCTCCAAACGCAAAAGGACAACAGAAGAGATTTCACTTTATTTACATAGAATTCTCTTTAGCTTCTTGGTTTTGAGGTCCCGAAAAGGAGAAATTACCATTCCTAGTGTTTTAAAAGTAATCCAAAGTCAGCACCTAGAAAAGAAAAAAGGAAAAAAAAAGTTTAAAATAATTGCTACCACAAAACTACCATTCATTAAACAACTGCAATGCGCCAGGTACTATTTTAAGTAATTTTCTGTATGATGATATTCTATGGACTGAATTATGACTCCCCCTAAAATTCATGTTGAAGCCGTAACCCCCCATGTGACTGTATTTGGAGATGAGGTTATGAGAGGGGGGCCATAATCTGGTAAGATCAGCGGTGCTGTAAGAGGAAGGGCCCCCCCACCATGCACACATACTGCGGAAGGGCTAGGTGAGGACACAGAGAGAAGGCAGCCTACAAGCGAGCCTGGGACGGAGCCCTCACCAGCAACCAAACTGGTGGGAACCCTGATCTTGGACTTACAGCCTCCAGAACTGTGAGAATCAATTTCTGTTGTTTAAGCCACCCAGTCTGAGGTATTTTACTGTGGCAGCCCAAGCTAACACTCAGTATTTAGTTTACTTAGTCTTTTCCATGAGGTAATACAATCACCCCCTTTCACAGAAGAACAAACTGAGACAGACTTTAAAAAGCAGTATGTTACTTGTTCTGAGATAGAAGCAGTAGAAACCTCAGTGCACATAAGTCCAAATTCTCAACAGATACTGTAACGTTTCATTCTTAGATTCATTTATAGGCTCTAAAAATGTATTTCAAAACATACCTCAATCAACAAAAACTGAAAGCAACAGGGAAAAAAAAGAGTAGTCTTAATACCTGTTTTTGGTTTGCTCAAGTATCTCTTACAATAAAAGAAAAAGTAGTTATGCATCTACTGTGTAAACATTACAACATTTTAGGGTATTTATTCAGTAAACAAGCCAGTGCCTATGGGATACAGGGCAGGTAAGGTATGAATTTTATTTGTTTTTATTGATATGAAAGGAATGAAGGACATGAACACATATGTACCAAATTCTTTCATCCAGTTGTCTCATTTAAACCTTCCAGTTACTCCTCACCAGACAAAAACAGAGAAGATGAGAGACCTTCAAGAGGATAACTGCACAAACTCCAGCTAAGATGCAGTAGAACATGTATCACATCAACCTCTTCCCAAAAATCACTATAAAAGCTAATAAAATATAAACAAACAAAAAAGCCCCACTTTAATTTTAAAGATATCAAAGAGCAACCAAGGTCCTCAGGACTAGAGAGGCCAAGATGCTGAGAACAGAAAAGCAATGAAGTGAGCTGAACATTCTTTCCTGCTCTTCTTCTCAAGGCACTTCCCAATGCCTGTGCTGTAAGTAGCAAGGAGACTGGCAGCCAAGCTGCAGGAGGCTCAAGAAGCAAGCAGAGACTTCAGTGGCCTCATAGGGTGGAGGAGATCAAACAAGCAAACTGTAGTGGAGGGCCTGTGGAGAAGGAGGCTCTCAGTTGAAACCGAGAAGGGGTATGCTCTAGTGTAAGGGCAAAAATGAAATGGACCAGTTTTTATACTGAAACACAGCCTGAAATCTTTTTTTTTTTTAATCATCTTAATACTAGACTGGATCAAGGTAATGGGAAACGAGGAGAAAAAACTGTTGCAGAGGCAATATTTGTAGATACTAGCCAAGGATTTTCCAAAACTGACAACAAACAACTAGATACAGATCCATGAAGCTCTACAAATCCCAAGAAGGATAAATACAAAGAAATCCACAAGGTTTGATGTGTCCTCTCACACAAAAATTGCTGAAAACCTATGACAAAAGTCTTTAGAAAGACACATTACTCTCAAATAAGTACAATACGGCTGATAGCTGACATTCCAGCAGAAACAATGGAAATAAGACCATCCTTAGTGTGCCAAATGTAAACAAATAACTGGCAATTCAGAATTCTATACTTAGTGGAAAAATCATGCAAAAGTGATTGTAAAATAAATGTGTTTTCCAACATATGAAATCTGAGAGAACTGACTTCCAGTAGGAATCTGTGAGGCAGAAGGAAAAAGATCCCAGAAAGAAGCAAGGAATGGCAGGAAAGAATGAGGAGCTCCAGAAAGGTAAATAAAGGTGAGTCTAAATGATACTGACTTTACAAAACAATTATAGGAATCTCTTGTGGTTATTTAAAAAACAGAATTAAAATGCATGACAAAAAAAAAAGCAGAAAGGGGCAAATGAAATTAGTGTTCTAAGGTCTCTGTATTACCCAGGCTGTGATAAAGCATTGAATTATTATTGATAAAGTTTTGTCATAATAAAAACCTACTGAAAGAGGGGCACCTGGGTGTCTCACTTGGTTAAGAGTCTGACTCTTAATTTTGGCTCAGGTCGTGGTCTCAGGGTAGTGAGATGGAGCCCTGCCTCAGGCTCTGCACTCAGTGGGGGTGGTCTGCTCCCCTCCCTCTTCTTCTCTCTCTGTCCCTCCCCACCACGTGCATATGTACACTAATTCTCTCTAAAATAAATAAATCTTTTAAAAAAATAATAAAAAGGTACTAGAGAAGTTAAAAAATATGGAATTATTTTTTAAAATATGATTAATCCAAAGAATGTAAGGAGAGAGAAAAAAAGAGCAAATAGATGGGACAAATAGAAAACAATAAGATTTAGATCTAATCCCAAAAGAATCATTAATTATTTAAATATAAACATACTAAATATGCAAGTAAAAGATCGGTAGGGATGGATGGGGAGCACCACTTAACTGTACTGTACTTACAAGAGACACACATTACATACAAATGACAGAGAAAAGCTGAAAGAAAAAGGATGGAAAAAGATATACTATGCATACTCTAACCAAAAAAGCTGCCATAGCTATCTAATAATCAAACAAAACAGACTTCAAAATAAGAAGCTTCACCAGAGATTAAAAAAGGGACATTTCATAATGTTAAGAGTTGATCCACCATGGATATAGCATAATCCCAAATCTTCACATTGCAACAGTGTCAAAATATATAAAGCAGAAAATGACAAGTAAAATGACAGACAAACCCACAATCTTAGTGGGAGATTAAAATAGTAACTGATAAAACAAGTCAACAAGAATCAATAGATACAGAAGATTAACAACATATTTAAAAAACTTGATCCAATTCATGTACATAGATCACTGCACCCAATGACTATAGAATACATAATACTTTCAAGTAGACATAGAATACTTACCCAAATTGACCATATAAAGATCCATAAAGCAAATCTCTATACATATCAAAACCATACATACTGGTCTTGAAAATAATTGCACTTAACTCATGGGTCAAAGAAGAAACTACAGTGAAAATTAAAAAACTTTTAACTTAATGATTATAAAAATATGACACATCAAAACTTGCAGGATGTGGCTCAAGCCACGCTTAGCGGGAAAGCTATAGTCTTAAATGCATATATTAGAAAAGAAAAAAAGAGATGAAAACTAATGTTCTCTGTATCTACCACAAAAAAACAAAACAAAACAAAAAACAGTAAATTAAACCCAAAGAAAGGAGAAAGAAATGAGAGCAGAAACTGGGGCAGTGGGGGTGGGGGTGAGGGGTAGGGGTGGGGCAAGCATAACAGAGAAAACCTACAAAATCAAAGCTGCTTCTCTGAAAACACTAAAAGAATTAGCTAAACTTCTAGCAAAACTGGTCAGTATAGGAGAAGGCACAAATTACCAACAACAGGAATAAAAGGGGAAAATCATCAGTGATCCTCAGAAGTTAAAAAGGTAAGGACTACTAATAGCTGTCACAGCAAACTGCATCTCTGCAGCGACTCCGTGGTAGTTCGCATGTCTGTGTTCCCCACTACAGGAAACTGATTGAGGAATTCCATCTTACTACTCTTCCTGTCTTTAGAGCCCAGCACTGTACCTGGCACACAGCAGATCCTCAATAAATGTTTAATGAATAATTTAGCTCCCTGAAGAAATCAGAAGGCCAAGTGTGGAACTTCAACTTTATTCAATAAAATATGAATTAATATTACTAAATATACGTATCATTCAATGGGCTGTAAGGAGTCCGTTGTTTCCTTTCTTAAAGTTTTACCCAAATTTACCAGTCCTTTTGAAGTTGGCATTATTTTCATCTAACAGGAAAAGAAAGAGAAAACAAAGCTGTGCCACTATCAAAAGTCACCCTTGGTCAGAGTGTGCCTACTGAAGTAATCATTTACTTTTAGGTTAGCTTTGCAAAAGAACAAGGACGACTTCTCTCTAGTCCTCTGGTAACAAATGACAAAGGGAATACATTTCTTCTTATTCTATATGGCCTTTTCTTCTACTCCAATAACTGCTTTTTTTATATTTTAGCCAATGATTTTCAAAGAGAAGGGAGTGAGTTTCTATCAAAATCATCTGGGGGTATTTCAAACTCTGTCAGTGATGGGTTAGTTGTACAAGGCAAGTATACTGGGGGGGGTAGGGGATGAGATTAAGAACCACCATTTCAGAGCCTCGTTTTTACTATTCAAACTGACATTCATTCAACAAAGCTGTACTGAGTGCCTGCTGAGTGCTTGGCACTGTGCTATACACAGGGGGCAAGGGCAAAAATGTCTATCTCCTGAAGGGGCTCACAAGCTAAGGGGAGAGCCAGGGGGTAAACAACTCACTCTCACCGGGGCAAGTCGGTGTCCCTGCATGCTAACGCTAAAGGATGGGGCTGAGAAGGTCAGGCCAAGTGTTAGGGCCTCCTCCAGAAGGAATGTGTGACTGTACCAAGGTCGACCATGAGCACAGGAATAGAAGGGGAGGCCCATGTACTATGCATTTGCCCATCTCCCATGAACTAACTATAACACTGTATGATAAAAGCTCTAAAGCAATTATAAACAATAATATATAAAAGAGAAAGAGAGAACAATGAATTCCACGGATTTCAGGAAGTTTTCCCAAAAAGGTAATATCAGACAGGTCTTACAGGATAAGTAGAATTTTATGAAACAGAGCTAACATTCTGAAATATTACTACATGATAGACACTGTTCCAAGCACCTTCTATCTCCCAACTAGTTTAAGCTTTGCAACAAACTCTCAGAGTACACACTATCATTTCCCCCA